AGAATAAAAACAAAAAAGGATCTAAAGATTCTTAATTAACCTGACCGAACGACTGCGGCAGCATCAGCAAAGGCAAGCACGCCGCACACATTGTCAGTTAGTGGCCAACAACGGACAAAAGCAGCAGTAAACAAACAAACAAACAAATGGCAACAGCAACAACAACAACAAATGGTGTATGAAGCACAACAAAAGTACTTAAGGCAAAAGCGCAGCCAGGCGTTGGATGCCATTGGCAACGGTAACTTGTCAAACAGGTGTTGCAGCCGTTACGGATGAATAGCAACACGAACAACAACAACAAAAAGATAAACAAAAAAACTATCAAAAGTCGCTGGCAATGCAATAGCGCATATCAACAGAATGACAAAAACATTTGGACACTTATTTTAGTTTGTTGCACACAGCCACGCACTCAAGCATTTGCGCAAGCAAGCAAGTTATCCAATATTCAATTGTATGTATGGATATGTGTGTGTGTGTGCGTTTATGCATACATATGTTCTTATATATGGTAACTTTGGCTTGCAACATAGCGCGCGGTGCCGCTTACATTGAAGGTCAGCAACTTTTCAATACAGCAATAACAACAACAACAACAGCGTCAGCTTTTTCAATAACAACGGCAGCCACAGCCACAGCAGCAGGCGCATGCAGCAGCTCCTACGCCGGCAAGAATCGTGCTGACCGTCCTCGCCGCCTCTCCGCCTCACCGGTCATAACCTGGTAATCCGGCCAGTTTGTCTGGCATGCCATCGACATAGTCATCGCTGCTGAGGCTACTGTATTGTTGTTACCCCCGACTGCAGCGGCTTGCTATAAAAAAGTTTAAATTACAGCTACTTCATGTGATAACACACACACACACATATGTGTCAAGTGTAAGTGGCAGCGTAAAGAAGATAGAGCTGGAGCCAGCATAGAATGTGTCATGTGGCGTCTAAAATGCAAATTGTTACATATTTAATTAAGAAAAAATAATTGGCTGTAAATTTATTTTTAGCTGGACTTGCTGCAACAGGTTTGCAATAAAATAGAGTATTTTAGACTCAAGCTAGTTGAGATGGTAGACGTAATAGCTTGCAATGGATGAAGCTGAAGTAGCGTTTAGAACTACTAAAACGCAATGCCAAAGAATTTCTCGGCAGAGAAATTATTTGGAAACAGTTGAATAAAGTGGGAACAGTTATAAAAATCTCATTTTGAGGAATATTTCACTAGAAATAAGACGTTAGGAGGCGTAGTAGCGGGTGTTTAAGCTCTCAAGGACCACTTTATGAGGTGGGAACAGTTGTATGGAATGGGAACAGTCTTTTTTTTATCACATTTAGGACTAATTACAAAAGGGAGAACTAAAACACATACCCCACATGCTTGTCTTCATTGTTAAGAAAGTTCCCTACCATTTTTTAAGCCTCGTGCCGGCTGTTTGTAAGCACTTTCAATTTCCAGCCCAAAGCTACATTGCTTTATACTGCATTGATGCACACCACTACAAACTAGCGCCTAGATTAAGTATTGACTTAATAATGCGCATATCGCATACCAAAGCCATGACGCAACAACAAATAAACCACAGCAGCCATAAAGCAGCACCAGCGCGCAGTAGCCACCACCAAACGACCTCAGAATGCAACGCAGTTACGTTGTCCCCAAAACGAAATTCCAGGCACAACAAAGGCAAAAGACACCGAGTCAAAAAGAGAAAAATGTGTACATAAAATTATACAGAAATATACATAATGAAGTCGAGAAGAGAGAAGAATGTTGTAAATTCCACATTTGCCGCATTTAAACCGGCAAGTTAAGTGTGTAGCCGCGTTGGTTGCGTTAGAACTACAACAAAATGCCGGCAGCAGCGCACGCCCACATTGCTAGCGTGCTGGCGCATTGCAAAGGAAAACGAACGCAACGCAATTTGCGTGCAAATGCTTCCACGTTATGTGCGCATGCGTATGCTTGGCGCGACGAACAAGCAAATAAAAGGAAAGAGCAGGTAAACGGCAAGCAAAAGTGCGAAAACCAAAAAGTAAAAATATAAAAAATTGTGCCTTGGCAAAACTAGGAATTTATGGGGTGAGAACAGAAGTGAGAGGGAGAGTTTTTGGCGCTGCCTGTGCCAAAGTAGGCAAGTCCGCAAGCCACTTGCCGCAAGGTACACATATGTATATGCATAAATATGGCATAACTCAGTTCGTAGACGTAAATGATGAAGTATTAAAGATTATTTCCTGCGCGAGCTGGCCATTAGGAAATTTATAACAGTGAAGAGGAGTTGATAAAGAAAGGAAAGGGTTAAAATTTTTTATTTTAATTTGAGCATAATGTAGAAAAATTAAAATATGTACAAAAATAGACTAAGAACAGACTTTTGTGGTTCTAATAATCAAATTTTAGTAATAAACAAAACATTTAAAAATATTCTCTAGTTAAACTATGCTTTATGCCGAAATTATGTTATAATAAATTTTCATTAAATATTTTTTCTAACTTAACTAAGTGAATATAGCTGACGCCAAATAAAGTCTACTTGAGAAATTTTGACTAGGAACAACAGTAGGTTTATTTTTAACTAGGAACAGTTTAAACAGCCAACGGTACAAATTTGACCAATTATAAAAGATATTCGCTAGTTTTAATCTACTGAAAACATTTAGAACAATTTTCTGGTATAAACAGTGCTTATTGGCGGAACTATTAACGTTCTTAAATCTGGGAATAGTTTTATGACATAATAAATTTTCATAAAATATTTTTTTAAATAAATTAAGACAGTATAGGTAACGCCAAATAAAGTTAAGTTTAAGCAATTTCGACTAGGAACAGCTGTAGCAGCGTACAGGAACTGGGAACAGTTTTAACTTTCAACGTCCTCATGCAAATACGACCGGTTATATAAGTTATTTACTAGGTTTAATCTATTTTGTTGTGAAACTCAGTGTAAAAGGTTTAACCAATCACTATAATAGGAAGAAAAACCTTACCTTCAGCTGAATTCTTATGAAACAAGAAAAAATGGTAACGTCGGTTGCATCCAAGCAATACTCACAAATACAAAAGATTCCTTATAAGATCTTTGATTCGCAAGTTTGTATGACAACTATTATTATATACATAGTGCTCAACATATTCTTCGGAGGTTGTATCTATGCTTTAGATAAAAGCCCTTGTCATGTTTCATGAAAATATATTTTCAACTGAAAAAGTTTTCCATATAAGCACTTGAAGCCGATTGTTCAAATTCTATGCCAACTATATGTTATAGTGGTCTAATATCGGCCGTTCACATGATCAACTACTTGTGGAGAAAACGTCGGGTACGAAGTTTCAGATCGGAATCTCACAACTAGTTCGTATAGTAGTCATTTAGCTTATTTTAGAGAGTCTCTGACTCTTTTTTGGGGTGTTACAAACATCATGGTAAACTTGTAGAAAATTTTGAGAATTTTTCTTGGAAAAATTTTCTTGGGGGGACGCTGAACATGCATAATATAGACCACAGCAATAAATACAGACACGGTTACGGACAATTCACTTTGAAGTTGGCAACCTTTGAAAGAATGCGGACTTGCCAGTTCAACACAGCAATAAAACTAACTTAACCACGCTAAGAAAAAGGAAATAAACAAATAGTGCGGTCACACGCACACATATATAGACACTTTACATTTGTGCCTAGATATTGAATATGAGAAATAAATAAACGCAAAACAGAAAGGGAATGCCAGCAGCCGCAAATAGGTGTGAAAAAATCACCTCATACCTACATACTATGTATGTGTGGTGAGTATGTGTGTGTGTAGCAGTAACTGCGCCAACAGCATGGCATGGAATAAATTCATAATGATTTGTGTTGCCACAAGACTTTTTTGCACCATTTTGTTTACATTCATGAAAAGTAAAATAATAAAATGCTAAAGCGCACGAAAAAGTAGACAGAACCAGGAGGAGTGAGATATGTTGAGGTGGCAGCGGGTTGCAGCAGTGAGCTCGTATAATTTGTGGCATACTATATGTTGCATGCTTATGTCGGCGTCGCTGCAGTGCAACTATATAAAATAGGAGTTGCATTCCAAACAGCTGCCGGCAAGTAAACGCTTGCTACGCCAGCAGCAGCAGCATAGACAAATTGTTGCACGTGCTGGTGTTGTAGCGGCACGGCTTAGCGCTATGCGGTGCACTGGCGCTTGCGGCATGCAACAAGTAAAAAACAAAATGCGCATTGTAGTCTGAGAATGAAAATTAAAGCGCAAAATTCTTACCACAATTGTGTGGCATGCCGTGCTGTTGCACGAACCAATGCGGTTTGCGGCTGGCGGTCTCTGACCATTACCGCCGAATTGCGGTGCAAAGCAATCGACCTAATAATGCAAAAAGGTGGGCACTAAACTCAGCGCTCAGTGACGCTGGCAGCCGGCTTAGCGGCAAGGGATTGCAGTTTGAGGTCGTTCAATGACTCTGCGCACCGGTTGCGCGCCTGGTTGCATGTGCAACATTTTTTCTCATGAGAATTTCGTTTTCAATTTTTACTTTTTTGCTCCACAAAAAAATGGTGAGAGTGTTTATTTGCGTGCTGTGAAAATGCAGCCAAAGGAAGTACACTGTTCTCAGGCATGACGGCACAGTTTTGCGGTTGAGGAATTTCGCATTTTTGGGAATAAATTTGGATATGTACGAAGCGTGTTAAAAGCGGAGAGTTTTGCTAGAAAATTACAAATTCCTTCATGGAGGCATATTTGCAATTGATTGAAAGCTTGTATGGGAGCTAGCCTCGCTGGCTCAAGCCTGGCTACATTGACACTTTAGTTTATCGTAAAGTCTGTACAATCTAATGGACTGTCACTTATTATCAAAAAAAAAAAAAATAAATTAACTAACTAATTTAAAATAACTGGTAATATAACTGGTATTAAATTTAGTTGACATAACCTATATTGTTAAGCATCAGTTATTACCTACCAATAATTTTCATCCTCAATTCTTCCTCTTTTTTCAGTGGCCGTGAGATTATAACAAAAAAAAAAGAAACAAAAGGCTATCAAAACCGCTCATTCATATCACTGAAGAATTGCATTAATTACTTGCGCCGCCCGGCAGCCTAAATTATGCGCCTCTTCAAGACACGCAAGTCCATCGACACATTTGGCAGCGCAAACAGCAACACCACCAGCATCCATCCATCATATCAGCAGCACTATAACAACGGCACACAAACCGCCACACCCACACCGACCGCCACAACATGCGCCGTCAAATTCAGCAAAACCATCGCCGGCAGCACAGCCATTTCATCGTCGCTACCCGATCTGCATGATTCGCCCGTCATGATACTGAGCTGTACGAATCTGAGCGCTAGCCACACGCCCACACCGCGCATACCCACCAGCGTCGGCGTGCTGAGCGCCAGCAATAGTGGCGCCTCCACACAAACGCACTCACCTGCCGCAGTTGGTGGCACGGGTGGTGGCAGCTACACACACAACTACAGCAGCCACAATAGCAGCGGACGTCAGACACCGTCAGCGCTGTCGGTGGCTTCGCTGAATGATGCTGCGCTGCAGCGATTGCATCATCATCATCAACAGCAGCAGCAACATCATAGCACCACACACTTATTTCAAAATGGCAGTGGTGGCGTCGGTGGAGGTGGAGGCGGCAGCAAGTGCAAAAGCAACACTTTGTTGGTGAATTATGGTGGCAGCAGCAGTAATATTGCGACAGCGCAACATTATTACCAAAAACTCGGCCAGCAGACTTTGGGGCAACAGCGTAACAGCTCGTCATCGAGTAGCTGCATCTACGAGAAAAGCAGAAATGCGAGTTGCCACAATATTTCATTGATGCCAAATGGCGACAAGGGTGGTGGCGGCGCTGGTGGCAGTGGCGGTGTCACACCAATGAAGAGTTGCAGTGGTTCAACAATATCGCTGATGGCGTCAAACGGTAAGTGGTGTCATAAAAGACCGCATTTTGTATGTGGGTTAGCTTGAAGTGTTGCCACGCGAGTATAGATATATATTAGAGCGGGTCGATTTCTTTTTCCACAAAATCGTGTGAACGACAAATATGTTGTGGATCATTCTACACGACTTTGCCTAAGGGACTATGAGTCTAAAACCAGTTTCGAGTCAGCAATGTTTAAAAAATCTGAATAATCGGTTATATTGGAGATATGTGATATAGCTGTCTGACCGATTCCGATCAATACAATAGATAATGTGGCTACGAATTAAATTTCATTAGACTATCTCAAAAACTGACAAACAAATTTTATGATGCCTAAAAAACATTGCCTTAAACCCGGTTTATGGCTTTTTAAATGCAAAACAACGTATAATCCAAAAAATCGAAATGGATTGCTTCATTGCTTACGATTCACTACATCATTTGTATATGTAGCATAAAATGTCCAGCTTCCGCTGCCAGATATAACCAATACATAACCAATACATAACCACTATATAACCACTTTATAACCAAAACTCAAATTTTGTTTCAATATGAGTGGTCCTATTATACCGTTTTTCTTTCGGGTGTAAATTTATGAAAAGTGTTGTTACGTTATTTTGCATTTTAACTGAAGTCATGTATGTATATACATATCTCGATCTAATACTAACGGTTATGTTTTAAAATTTCTGAAAATAAAATACTTTGCTTATTAATTATGATAATGCGATATCAAAGTGAACTCAAATTACCCAAAAAAAATATTATTAATAGCTCTTATGTTTTATGCACACGCTTCTTTGAACCACAAGCTTCTTTCTTTTCCGTTCAGGTCATTTGCCCAACTATCAATTGGTCACCGCAGTGCCTGTTGTCATATTGGATGACGAAAAGAAAACCACTTCAAACGGCGGCACGACAACTGCAAATGCAGCGACGACCTCAACAACATCCGTTACAACAACAACAGCAACTCCAGCGTGCATAACTGCCAATAGCGCCACAAGAAATGGTGAGTACTTTTCAATAATTATACATATATTATATATTAACTTTGCCAAGATGTTTATAATATATAAAAAAAAGTCAGAGATCTTAAAAAATATAGTATATAAATGATCAGCAGGATGAGCTGAGCCGATTTCGCCATGTCCAGCTGTCAGTCTGTCGGTATATATGCGAACTATTCGCTCAGTTTTTGGAATATCAATTTGACATTTTGCACCCGTTCTTTACTCCTCAAGAAGCTACTCATTTGTCGGAATGGTCGATATTGGACTACTATAGTATATGGCTCCCATACAAACTGAACGATTGGATTCAAGTGTTTGTATGGAAAACTTTTTCATTTATTGAGATATCTTCAGAAAATTTTGTATGGGTTACTTTCCGAAGAAAATATATAATCTCCGAAATAATTGTTCAGATCAGATCACTACAGCGTATACCTTTCCTACAAACTGAACTATTGGATTGAAGTATTTGTGTGAAAACTTACTCTTTTGAGGATATGTCTGCAAGAGAAATCGACATGGATTATTATTTAAGGTAATGATACAATATCTGAAGAAATTGTGCGGATCGGACCACTATCCAGCTGCCATACAAACTAACCAATACTCTCACATAATAGTACAAAATAAAGCTGAGTTGCATAAGAGTGCATCGAATTTTAGCTATTTCTTTATAAAACTACTTCAACTAAAGTAAAAGACTTAAAATTCAATTTTATTATATTAAGTATTTACCAAAATAGCTTTAATTGCTTACCACATGGTGGCGCTCGACCGCAGCACTGTTTCTCACGCGCCATTTCAGCAACATTTATACGCGCCTTGAATGAGAATTGTTCTTGTTATATATTGTAATATTCAAATTTCGGCAGTATTCTGTATTTTATTTAAGGGCACAGTGTGGAACGGATGTTTGCAATCTCAAGTTTCGAAAACTGCATTTTTGCWTGTTTGTATGTAAGTATGTGCTTACCACGAAGAAACAGCGAATATTCTTTGATTTCTGCTCGCTACAAATTATCTGAAATTTCTCTACAATTTATGAAATACACACATGTATTCACTTATTTTTGTTGCTGCGATCACGTACGAGTGTGAAGATTATTATTTTGCATTTATTGCTCTGTTACCGTTTCCTTTCCAATACAAACACATTTAGTGGTAATAAGCACATACACACATGCATAAATATGTTTGCAGTTCAGATTGTGTGGTTAGTGATGTGCACTTTTTATCCGGTACTCGCATGGAAGTGATAATTTTCAGCGAAAAAAAAAAACATCTGAAATAGTCAATATTTTTGCTTTGTTGTTTTTTTTTTGTTTGAATAGCAAATTTCTTGTGATATTTCACCACAGATCTAGAAAACTGCACGATATGTCTAGAACAAGGCACCAGGGAAACAATGCAGCATCTCTTGCGTTTATTTTTAAGACTACGCTGTGGGCATCTGGGTTCCCCACGGTATGATACACGGGAGGAGGTATCGATAGTGAGACCACAGAGTCTGCTAAAATTCAGGCATCGTCAGGCGCAGGCGTCGTAAATAATTACTACTCCACGTGGACATAGTAACTGAACTTCATCTGGTATCGCAAAGGTCCAAAACTGGTCTATGCGTGGCTCATTGCCCTACCAGATTAACCTAACTTAATCAGACAGCGACTGAGGTGATGTGATCCTTTTCCACGTAGATGAATCCCAGAGGCTTGAGCCTGCTTCTAGGAACTGCTGGGTAAAATAGAATCGGCTGTTTTTTTTTTTAGTTTACTGTTCGATGTCGCAAAACCGGCGGTTTTCGCAAGATACAATGTCTAATTTGGCCTCCTGAGCCTACAGTGCCCCGTATAGAGCGTGACAAAGAGACTGAATTTCTTCTGCATTTACTCATATGTATAGAATTTCTCGTATAAATTGAAATTTCAGCTTAACTTTGTACATGCACTCTTTTCTATACAAAATCCTTTTGCTGCAGCAACTGCTCTCGTGTCTCACATCACTATCACTGCTTCACTGCTGCGCGCATTTCACCACCAGCTTTGCTCTGTTAACACACATTCATAGAAATGTGTTTATTTTTTATTCTGTTACTTTTATGCTTTTAAATTGGATTTCTTGTATGTTTAACTCGATCTTTCACTCTGTTGCGCCTTCTTTGCTCATGTGCTTTTATTAACTGCAAATTGCCTTAATTTTCTTGCCAATCAACTGTGGCGATCTGCAGACAAAGAAATCATTCTGTGTTTTTTACAATAATACAAAACAAACAAATCGAGGCAAGCGCAGTTGAGAGTTAAGTCAGTTATATTTGAGTAACTTTTTTTTTATCAAAAATATTATATAATATGTTCCTCATGAATAATAAAAATAATAAATAAATAACATAATAAAAAAAAAATCGTTCAGCAAATAAAAGTAAGCCATCAAGCGGTTGTCATCTGAATATAAAAATAGAATAAGTCAAACAATCTTGAGATTTATCCACATTTTTGTTGCCAGAAATTAACAATTTTATTGCGGAAGAGATTCTCTTCTTTATTTTGTATTTTGATAACTTATTAATTTTATTTTTCACGTCTTCAACTCAGTGTTGACACAGATCGCTACTCGCCAATCACTACAATTCATAATTCAAGTCTGGCAATATAAATATTGATTTAACAAGCTGGCAAAGGCCACTTAATTCATCGTTAGCACACAAACAAATCCCACTGTGGAAAAGAATTTGCATGTCAAATTTAGGCAATCAATTTGCAGTGGCAAAAAATTTAGCAAATACTTATCACAGCTGTGACTTTGATTTTATAATGAATCAAAATAAATAGTTGTAGTATGTAGTATATAGTAGTATGTTAAGCTATGAAATCAGAAAGCTTCAAATATTTATTAGCTCTTACAATATACAACATATGCGGCAAAAGAATTAACTTCAATACCACAAAATTATATCAATTTCTCTAATTGAATGAATGCCTTGGTAAGCGATATCCAAATTCTATCCCATGAGACACACCATATTTTCTTACCAAATTCATACCAGCTGGGTAGTTGAAGCATTTTCATTTTATTAATTTTTTTAATTGTAATGAAGAAATAGATTGTAATGGACTCATGATGAATTCCTCTTATCACATATTCGAAAAGCCAAAGAAGTCACAGGCCTTCAAATGTATCCAGCGATAACATGTGCATGGGTTACCGGGGCTTTTAAGTCATATGTGACTGTTATGAATGTAGAGACATAATGAACTAGCTTAAAATAAGTCGAAATAGACTATATCCTCTCAAGGTTGAATTAAATTAGTGATTTGCAGACGTGAATGGAGAAAAGGATAGAATACTATCTCAATCTATGCCGATGGGTCCAAACTTGACTGCGGAGTGATTGATAACTCTCCCTCCATCCATCTACCAAACTCAGCCAGTATCTTTCAAGCGGAAATATGTACATCACAGGCATAGAGAAGGCTTTGGAGTTCTACTGGATAACTATGAGAAGATACAGAGAGCTACTATATACACTTATAGCCAGGCAGCATTGCTAGCCTTATCGTCGCCAAAGATAGAGTCAAGCATGGTCAACAAATGTCGGAAGTCTTAGGCTCACTAGGCCCAGCGAGCTCCTGGAACTAAACGTGTCTCTAAATTCTTGCAATAAATACTCGGTCCATAATACCCGGCAACTCCACAAAACAGCTGTATCCATCATAACTAAGCGTAAATATATAAATCTTTAAGAAATTATTGACAAAGCCATGAGCATTTCAAACCTCAGCCGTCAATTACAATCAAAAATTAAAAGCATCAGCGGTAATTACATAATACAGTAGCCAAAGCAAAACGAACAAAAAAAAAAAAAAACAATTGAAAAGATATTTTGATTTTGAATGTTTGACAGCGCCCTGGAGCCAAATGTGAGCTTAACACTTTTGCTATGCGAGATGATGAAAAAATGGAATTTTTGATAATGGAAATAAAAAATGTGCAAAAATTAAAACCAAAAAACATAAGAAAAGAAGAAAAAACATCCAAATGAAATATGAGCGCGTTGAACTTGATGATGATAAAAAGGCACATAAAAGTTGTGTTGAGACACGCGAACTTGGCAGGTTTTGGGCCGAGACGCTACGTCTGAGTAATTTTATATAAATTAAGGCCGTCAACGCGTAGTAAAGTATCTCCCTGGGCAGAGGGTCGCACGACAACAAAAACGCGCAGATTTGGCTTTACTAGAAAATTGATTGTATTTCCTGGCGTTTGAATAATTCAGCGCCGATAAGTCGATATTGAGCGCACCAGCTTTTAAGCAAAATATAAGCTTTTGTTGTAGACATTAAAAAAATGTACACGCAGTGATACTAGTTACAAGCATAGCAACAGCAATAACAACAACAACTTAAGTACGATGTTTCTTTGTCTACCTGCGCGCATAAATGCAGACGACTACGAATGCTCGAAATTAAGTCAAATTAAATGGAAATTAAAATAACTCGCGTCAGCGCTGCACATACTAAGTAAGCGCATATACCACGGAGTGCCAACAGCGACGTCGAAAATTTGCATACAATGCACGCATGCAACATTTATCAGGCGGCGAACCAGTTTGCTTGCTGAGCTGTGCTCAAGTTCGTATTTCATTTTCATTTCTTAAAGTTCATTTTTGCATAGTTTTTAAAGCCGAATCCGAAATCACCCGCCACACTGGCTTTTTGCCACTTTGCTTGGCGGCGGCGCGTCAGTTGTACGCGTTCGTTTTAACCACGCAGACATAACCAAGTGAAAAGTACATGAAAGTATTGAACATGTTTCAGCTAAAAAACATTCAAATTGCAAGCGAAAACTTTATAAAAACAAACGAAAGCCTCAAGAACTCAACGGAGATTGTGAAATTGAAATGCGTTTGAAGCTTAAGCACATAGCGCCCTGCCTGCGCCTCAAGGTCAAAAGTGCCAAGCGACCTTGGCCGAAGCAAGCGCAACAAAAGTGCGCAAAACACGAC